ATGTTTACATTGAACATTTTTATCTAAAGCTCAGTAAATTGAATTATAACTTTAATCCTTTAAAGTATCTAGAAAGGCTGTGTAGGTCACAAGCAGGGAGGTTTGACTAGGGCTATTTACACAAAGTGATTAAACTACTAAATGACAGAAAAATGAGCAGTGAGACTGCAGGGTTATGATCTATACAGCAAAACAACTTCTTATGCTTGTTAATTTGGTGAATGCAGTGTCTCTTTTAATCCTAAACTTTAATGCTAAACTTCACAATTATTCTAAACCTAATCTTAATCCATAATCTAAATCCTTAATTTAATCCTACTCCAAAGGACTTCCTTCTGCTAATATCAATATTACTGATATTAGCAAGGGTAATGTTAAGCTAAAACAGAGAATGATATGTTGCTCCTATCTAATGGATATTTTCAGAACAGGCAGTTACCTTTTACATTAAAAATAGTATTCCCAATGCATTGCAGTCAGCTCTGTGCAACTGACAAAGCCCAGCACTGATCAAAATGGCATTGTGGAACAGATGAAGACCTACCAATCACCACATCATCTCAGAGAAGCACTGCTCGGCTGCAGTGTTTTCTAAGGCGCTAAAAAAGTATGAAGTGATGACTTTCAGCAGTGCATGCCGCTCATAAAAAAGTCTGAGGTCACTAAATATGTCCTCAGCTGATAGTGGGGAGTCTCAGGTATTCATTGACACCTGGTACTTCTGCTATAAGCAGAGGTTTAAACCTGCTTAAACTAAAAATATTCCCATAAGTCAGTATTATTGGGAGGGAGAGCAAAGGTCCAGCCCCCGACAAACACCAACAGAGGGTGTGACAATTAGATAGAGTGGATAACTCAAAATCCAAGGTTTGTAGAAAATGTCAATAGGTTAAAAGTAATCTTTAATAGAGAAACATTAAAATTCTGTAGTGAATAACCAAAAAAGTGCTACCAAACAAATATGAAAGAAAAATGCAATAAGGTGCTAAAAAAAACACACAAAAACTGGGTCTTACTGAAGTCTATCAAACATGTCTCAAATATATCAACGTTTGGAGTTAGGTTCTCCTGTAAAGGGTAAAATACCCATATGGTACTGGTCGTGTATGAAACAGTATGGAGAAATATAAAATTGAGTTAGTAGTAGGCAGACAATAAAGCTGCTAGAGAGTATAGATAGTAGAATAGATAAAGTGGCATAGATAGGCTAAATAATAGCCAAATCTAGAGAATGCTATGGCTAGAGGGGGTAAGAGATAGATATATCGTCCTGCAGTATCTAGGGATAGTATTTAGAGCCGCTATTGCAGAGGGAAATGTAAGTATTACAGAAAAAAAATGAGCATACAAAAGAGCCCTTGAATCCGACCGTAAAACCAGTCAAAGATCCCAAGGGATCTATTCGATTAATAGCCTCCTATGATGCAGGGTGGGAGAGTGTAAAAAGCTCCCTCAAACATTTCTGGCCTCTATTAACCGGCGATTTACACCTCCAAAAAATTCTGGCCCCAAATGTAGACATCACTGCTCGTAGAGGGAAACATTTACGAGATCTATTGGCTCCTAGTCACCTAGAAACTGGATCTTCACCTACAACATTGCTCCAGAATACCCTGGTTGAATCTTATGGATGTGGGAGATGTACCACCTGTAAATTCATTAAGAGGAAGTCAAAGAAAGTGAGTGATAGTGAAGAGTAGGTGGAATTTGCAATAACCTCCTTTTTTAACTGCAATATGGCAGACATTGTTTATCTACTGACTTGCCAATGCAACAAAAAATAGGTTGGCAAAACATTTCACCAGTTCCAAAAATCGTATCCAGGAGCACATAAGATCACCTATAAACTTGACTGATAACCCTATTTTCAAGACACCTCCACAAATACCATGGTAGCGACTCTAAGAGTTTACGCTTTTGCGGTCTTGAACTAGTTAAGAAGAACACAAGGCGAGGGGATTATGATAAGTTCCTGTAATGGAGTCTTACCTGATAGGGAGTCCAGCTCGCAGAGTTATACGCTCACCCTTGCAAAGTAGACACAGACCAGGGTGACCAGGTAAGACGCCACCTGGCCTGTGAGTCTGTGCACGGGGGCTTTCCAAGAAAAGTGCTCCAAGTCTCAGTACAACAGGGATAAGAAGAAGCGTGGTCAAGGGAAGCCAAAATCAGGGAAGCCAGAGGTCAGAGTAGTCCAGGAGGAAAGCCAAGGTCAGAAGCCGGAATTAGACAAGAATCACTGGAACGCAGGTACAGAGTAACAGGAACCAAACAAGGGAACCAGAGTCAATGAACTGACACCCCTCCCAGGGTGAGGCAGGCTTTTATATCCTGTTAATTAGGATCAGATTCAGCTGGAGAGTAACTGACAGATCAGAGCCTTAGGTGAAGTCCAGGCCCCTAGTGCTGCAGGCAATACAAGAACAAACAGGAGTTATCCAAAGTCCTGAAATGGCTTAGAGGGAAACTAGCAGGACACGGTCCAGAAGGACCACAGTTCAAATCCCCTATCGTGCGCTTCCGGAGCGACCATGTCTGGCAGACTGGATGTCACGGCGTGAACCGTGACAGTTCCTTAGACAAAGAGAATGCTTTTGGATTTATCAACTTAAAACATTGAGTCCAAAAGGTCTCAACAAAGGATTCTCACTCTCTCCTTTTCTCTAACACTCTGGCTCCCTTATGTATTATTATACAGCTGTAAATATTTGCTTCACTATGTCTAATTATATAATTGTAGATATTTGTAAATATTTGGCTTAAATCCCCCAAGTGTATATGGCAATTTATCTATATTTATTATCTCCTTTTATTTTTTTATTTTTGGTTGTTTTTCTATTACTATTACTCTACTTACTGTTAAATGGTACAGCTATAGCTCTTTAAGGTTTATACCTACCGTTGAGATGTTTCGAGCTCTACATAACAAAAATAGGGAGGTATCCTTTAATTTTTTGACCTTAGAATACATGCACGGGCTGTGTTTTAAAATATATGCTTCCTAGCCGTGGATATAAATTTATTTTACCATTCACTCCTAGGACTCTACACTTAAATACCACTTTCAGCCCTTTAGGTCACATTAGTGAAGCACTATGTCAATATATCTTACATAAGTATATAATTGAAATATACCTTTAAATGAGCCATAATTATATTAGTCATTTACTATAAATTTAAAATCCGAGATTTATAGGTTTAATCTGGACCTTACATACAGCGATCATGTTTTTGTGTTTATTCTATTTAGGCTTTATTTTCAACAAATCCACTTCACTGAAACATATGTATTATATATATTCTCCTCTCTGGTTGCTTCATTATCTTCACCTGCAATTCTATGGGTGGTTCCTCCCTTCACCCACTCCCCACGTGGATGACTACCCTGCCCACCCCTTTTACGTTTGCGGTATGCGACTGCCCATGTGACGCACCTTAGGGTGCGGGTCTTTAAGTCGCGGCACAGGATTGGCCGTATGACGTACCTTAGGGGGCGGGTCCTTACCCCTATAAAATACCCGGCAGGCTCTGAATAACCAAAGGTGCCACATAGTGCTGAAACGCGCGTCGAGTAAGACGCCAGACTTAGGCTTTACTTTTAATTTCACTATGGGTTCTTGCTGCCAGTTCTACTTTTGAGTTATTTAGGAGGATAGTAGAAGCATTTCTAATCCGTACACCCGCTTTTATTAGCAAGGATTTATTTCAGCTCCTCTATATTTCTCCTGGTTAAGGTCTTAGGGACTGCTGCACAATATTTTTATATCAGCAACTATGTATACTTTTCTATCTGCCTAACCTGTCATACTAGATATTTATCTAGACAATAACTAGATATTGATAGTTATTGTATCTTTATGGTTTTATAGCAGGGGAAATTAGATATTTTTTTCCTGGTTTCAGCTATTCGTTTTTTTCACTGGTACTAGGGTTGCTTATAGCTTTGTAGATATATTTATCCGGTAACCTAGACTTATAGGTGATTGGTTTATCTTATCCACCTAGATGGCTATCTGTATTTTACTACCTACTGCATTGCGACCGTTGCCCACCTTGGAGCATTTATTAAACAAGGGAGGCCGTTTATACTGCTCTGCTGCTCTCCCAATATTTACCTGTTTATTCTGGGGTTTAGTTTTTACTCAGACCGCAAGTTTTTTTTTCTGTAATACCTACATTTCCCTCTGCAATAGAGGATCTAAATACTATCCCTAGATACTGCAGGACTTCTGCAGATTAATAATATGAAAAGTAGTTTTTCTAACAGAATGGAATGATTTCTGATTCAAACAAATCAAAATGTATGGCAAGATAGGATGCTTCATGTTTGCTTTACCTTCTTTACTGAAACCTCCAGCAACAAAGAAATAGTTAACATAACTTTTCAGAAACAACCAATCAGAACAAAGAACAGTAGAACAAAACACTCAGGCAGACCCTCCCACTTCCTCCAGATGAGCACTCCCCAACTCAGAGAGTGTGTCTTCTCTGGGATGTTTATTGCTTTATTGTTCATGTATTATTATATACTGCTTGTATTCCTATATGCTGCATGTTTGCCTTTATTTCTAAGCTGTATTTAGTTAGTATGTTTAGTTATTTATTCCATCCAGTTTTTGTGTGGGGCTCTTGGGCTGTATGCCTGATAAAGATTCCTTAGCTCAGAGTGTGTCTGCTCTGGGCTGTTAATTGCTTTATTATTCATGTATTACTATATGCTGCATGTTTTCCTTGATTTCTAAGCTGCATTTAATTAGTATGTTTGGTTATTCCGTCTCGTTTTGTGTGGTGCTCTTGGACTGTGTGCATTATGAGCTTTCCCCAACTCAGAGAGTGTGTCTGCTCAGGTTTGTGTTTATTACTCTATTTTTCATGCTGCATTTCGCCTTGATGTCTGCTGTTTAGTATAGTATATTTGTTTACCTACCATCTAGTTTTGTGTGGGGCCTCTGGGCTTGTGTGGACAATTTTTATGGGTTTTCCCCTGCTTTGGTCTCCCCTCACTGTGCATTGCTACAGTTGCTGCCTTTTTCCGCTCTCCCATCCCGCCCCTCCTCCGCATAGATTTCAGCATCGGCACCATGGTTTTTACCCGCATGCGTTCTGTGTGCTCTCCCGGTCAGCGGAGGCTTTACGGCAAGCGGCTGCATTTGCCGTGATAGGCTACGACATGTTAACATGGCGGCCATTTTGTCAGCGCCAGAGGACTCCCATGCACTAGCTTTGCGTCTCGGCTGTTGGGCTGGACTTGCAGCACTTCGTGGGGTTCTACTGGCTACGTGGCTGGCCCCCTTTTCTTCCTCCTCTCTCTTGCAGGTTTTTATGTGAAGACAGCACAGTATGTATTCTGTAGACATGAGTGTGCTGCTCCCCCTCACTGTTTGTTTGCATTACTACCTACTAAACTGTAGTATTTATTTTGTGTGTTCCAGCCCCCTCCCTGGGGGGCAGGTAGTCTTTCAGTTGCAGAGTGACACATCTCTGTATGCCTGGTGTTCAGGCCCTTTATTAATGACCTCACGGTGTTACAATGTCTAGTACCTGAGAGTACTGTATAGGGTGGCTGACCGCCCCCCAGCCCTGTCCAGGCCATGATGGGTGATGTGTTTCGGCTGCTGATTCCTATTACTGACTGCCAGCCACAGGTGGACCATCCTGTCACTCGCATTCACTGCTTGCCCAGTTAAGACACCTTTGGTTGTTACTACCACTATATTAAACAGATGGTTGTCAATGTTTCCCCGGTTGATGAGCTATGTCCCCAGTCGGCCCTTGCTGTCAATTCCATGAAGATAACAAAGTATGAAAATATAAATATACTGGTGTATCCACCTCCCAGTGTCACTCAGATAAATAAGGTAATATTACCATTAATTGAGCTTAATGGAGATATACAGCTAGAACAAAAGAAAAAAAATACAAAGAAACATAGTGTGAACTGTATAATGATATAAAATATGAAATAAAATGAGGGATTCCCACTCACATTCTCCAGAGCTGTACCAGGCTCTGTATATCAGGCTCACGGGTGCCAAGTACTGGCTAGCAATCTAGGCGATGTAGTTAGATGAGACTTCAATATGAGGTAAAAAATAGTAATTTATTGTAAAAGAAAATATATATAAAAATACTATAGGGCACTATGGAGGTGGAACCCAACACAACAACTAATATAGTATAGTAGAGTTAGAGTTCCACTTACACCTATGTGCAGTACTTAAAGGTGTATATGTGCACACTTATAAAAGGTCCCCAATATACATATCTGTCAAACCTTCATATAAGACAGATAAAAACAATGTATTACATCCAAAAGTATTCCCTTATAAGGTGATCAGACAGACAGAAGACATGTGGAAAACTTAATTGAACCTTGCACATGTATCTTGTTTATGTCCTTAAGGTAATATATATATAATTATTATATACAAGAAACATGCTAAAATGCTAAATTTGATTCTATAAAAAATGAATAAACTCAAAATCTAAATTTAATCAGTTCGGGGACAAGGTATTTACATCATAGATCCACCTGCCCTCTATCTTTGCCAATTCCTTAGTATTATTATCGCCCCTCCAATTTTTTGATTTTTTAAAAATAACTGCATATGATAACAGTGAGGAGTCACTGCCATGTCTTTCAGTGAAATGTGTGGACACACTGTGTTTCATATACCCCCTCTGGATATTGCCCACATGTTCTGCAACCCTAGTTTTAAAGGCTTTTGTGGTCATGAGCTCAATCGCCTCGGCTACCTCTTCTTCAATATATCACGCTCTTATTTTTCCAAATTATCAGAAGACAGCCAAGGCAACGAAACCCTGTCTAAAAAATTATTAATAGTCGCCTCAGACGGCTGGGTGAGATTTACATCAGATTCCAAATTATAAAGTGTACCATAATATTTGGTGAATTGGTCACTAATCTTATTCTGGTGAAATATTTTTTGTCCCTGGTCATCTATTAAGTACACAATTTTAGAATGGGCATTCACTTGCCGGAGTTTGGACGCCAGGAGAGTTGAGGCCTTGTTACCCTTTAAATAAAACACTTTCTTGAGGTGTCTCACCATGAGCATAGTTCGATCCAAATTTATTTTGTGAATTTTTGATTTAATCTCCCCTATCATTGCTGACAGGGAGGAAGATGGGCCGAATTTATTTAGGTTTAGGTTGTACAGTTTTTTTTCCAAATTTCTTAAGTTGCTGTTATTTTTCCTCTTCAAGTGAGACGCCCTAGAAATGAAATGGCCGCTTAACACAGCCTTGTGAGCATGCCATGTCACCTCACCAGGAAGCTCATGCGAAACATTTTCCAAAAAATAGTCATTGAGACCTCACGCCCCCTATACCCTCCTCTGTATCCTGGCCGCTTTTGTATACCAGCAACCGAGCTGCTTTAATTATCAGCTTCTGTTAAGCCGCTCGCGGGAGATTGTCCGCGGCCCTCCGAGCGTGCCGAGCGCCCAGAGTGCACTGAGCTGCCCTCAGATGTTGCAGCACTTACAGCCGCGATCCCGCCGCTCTGAGAGTAATGCGAGCAGGTCGCGGCTGCGCTCGCATAAGAGCGGGTCTGAGTAACTGGGCGGGTGAGTGGGATAGTTTTCACCACTCCCACCAACGTGGATTTCTGCAGCGAAATAAGCTGGGGGCCAGTTTTGTTGACAGGTGAATGGGCCTGCAGGCCTTTACTCACCCCTGCAGCTCCAGCCTCTCGCTTTTGCAGTACAGGCACGTTTTTTTCCCATTTTTAACTTGTAGAGCTTCTAGTTGTTTCGCTGCTTTCTCCTTTACTAATTGATCATTAATCTGGGATTCTATTTCATTTATTTTACGGGCCCCTTGTGTAGACAGG